CTTGTGCTGTTGAAGCTAGAGAGGTGAGCAGAATAAGTCTGATTCCCTGTAAAGACTTCTCTGCTGACATCCACTCCTTGGCGCTCATATTTAACTTTATGCAGTTGCGAGCGCCGTAAAACCCTCTACTAGAAAAAAAAAATAAAACTGAACATCTCAAGGTATTCTACACACTGCACATCTCAAGGTATTCTATACACAGCATATCTCTTGTTACTCGGCTCACAACATACATTCGCCTTACGGGTACTCACTATTCAGTGGGTGGTTGGCGGGTGCTCTGGTGTGGTTTGCTTCTTCTTTCCTATCAAACATCTGTCGTCTTTTTCTCCCCTCCTTCTTTTTTGTGTTTGTTACTCACTTGTAACACCTCTAATCTTCGGCTCTTATATGACCTTATTGTGTTGTAAGTGCCGTAAAACACACTATTCACCTCATGGTACTCTACTCCACCTGCTCACCACATGGTACTCTACACAGTAAAGACTGCTCAGCTTATATGGGAATCTACACGACATACTGTTCACCTTACGTAGAACTGGGCGAAGAGTCGATTCCGGAACCGATCCCCACGATTAATGCTACGGAACAAAAGTTCCGACTCCTTTTTACGAAAACGAACGGTTACCTGAATCTTTTCTTTTAAGAATTTCTTTTTGAAAAATAAAAGTTGATGTTTCGTAGTGCCCCAAAAATCAAGGTTATCTTAGATCATGATGTTCAGAGCCAACCAGGTAACCACCGGAAGAAATCACATCATTAGAAAGTAAGTAATTGGGTTCGGGGTAGATTCTTACGATTCCTAGCTTTCAATAATCGGGAACCTAGCTGCCGCCCAGCACTACCTTACAGTACTCTAAATACTTTACATGTACCATGTACTCCTCTCAGTATCCTACTCACTGCGCATTTCTCACATCTTGGTACTCTACTCACTACCCACTGCTCACCTCATGATGCTCAACTCATTGCTCACAAAAGGTATCATATTCTATACTGTTCCAGCGTAATCACCTGTTTAGAATTTGTCCAACAGCTGGTTTACGGATGGAGATGGGGGCGAAGTATGTAATATTAATTCTCTGAATCCCCCTCTCCTAAACGCACACGCACACGCACACGCACACGCACACGCACACGCACACG